CTGGGGGGGCGGTAGCCGGAGCAGAGGGCCCCGGGCAGCGCCGTCGGGAAGTCGGTCTCGACCGCCTGGCCGCAGAGCTCGTCACGGCTGATGAGCTCGCAATATTTCGCGAGGTATACCGCCGAGGTTCTCGACGTGAGACCCGTCTTCTTGGCGAAGGTTGTCATCATGTTGTGCTCGAAACCTGCCTTCTCGCGCGCGGGGTCAGCCGCTCCCCAGTGGAACGACTGGTCGATCTCGCGCCCCCAGGCAGCGACGATGGGCTGCCTGAGCTTGGACCAGACCCTGGTCCAGAGGCTGGCCAGGATGATGGGCCTTACCCCTCCTGGCGGGGGCTTGGGCAAGAACGCGATGGGCAGCAGCCAAAGGGGGGAACCTGGTCGGGTTCCGCTCCCACATGCGCACGATGTCCAGGAAGGTCTGGCGATAGTGTGGTGGGAGCCATCGAAGCTGCCTCGGGTGGATCTTGCCCCGCCCAAGGCCTGTGCTCTCCCCGTCGGAGGCCAACGCGCGGTCCAGGGCGTCCATGGTGATGGGGGGAAGGTCTCTCCATGGGCCGTGAGCTCCTGGCCGCCGCTGCAGAGGGCCGGAGTCGCCTGCGCGATCAGGGTGGACCCGCAGGTCACCCCACTCCTGCATAAATACGTTCATGGCCGCATATCCTGCCACAGGGAGGTCTGGGCCACGCTCGCCATCATAGTGAGCAATCACAGTTGAGGGGATCAGGCTGCCATCCTTGATGAAGCGGCATGCGTGTTGCCCGCCAGGCTCGGCGGCCGCCTCCTGAACCCAGGCGCGCCGCTCACTGCTGCGCTTCTGCCTGTCACGGGTCTGGAGGGTGGCTGTACGGGCACCGATGCTGACAAGCAGCCCGTGGTACACGTGCAGCTCCAGCTTGACGGAGGCATCCGCGATAGCGCGGTGGTCCCGTGGTGCCAGAGGCCCTTCCGTCGGCCAGGTAACAGAATTGAAATCAAACCCCACCAGGATCTTGATCTGGCGCTCGAAGCGGGCATACCTCGTCCTGCCCTGGTTCACCTGGTGGCCCTTCAGGGTGGCCGCCTTCCTGCAGGCCGCCAAGTAGCCAGCCCACTTGCGATTTTCGTCGCTGTTGGTTGATTTCAGGGTGGTGGTCCTCTCTTGCACCAGAGGCACCGTCACGCCGTCTCCGCCTGGAGGACTTGGTCCCTCGCACCCTTGGTGCGCAGCGGCCCTCGCGCCCCTGGTGTAGCCTGTCCAGGTAGTCCTCTACCATGGCGTACCAGAACTTGGAGGCCTCCTCGACATCACCAGGGTCGGAACCAAGCTCCCATGGCCAGCACTCTCCAGCTAGTTCGGGCGGCGCCGCCTGCGAGGGCGGCGGCATGGACGAACGGGTAGTGGCTCGGGTACACCGCTTTGGTGATGGTGGCGCGCTTGTGCAAGCCCTTCAGCTCGATGGTGGTCGGTGAGTGCGGCGCGAGAGGGAGAGGCTTCGCTCATTACGACGACTTCTCCAACATGTGTGGCCAGGACCTCCGAGACGATGGCGATGTCGTACCCCTTCTTGCCACACGTGGGCCCCCAGAGGCGGGAGGAGGAGGAGGAAGAGGAGGAGGAGGAGGAAAAGGAGGAGGAGGAGGAAGAGGAGGAGGAGGAGGAGAAGGAGGAGGAGGAGGAGGCGGGAGCAAGAGGCCGAGAAGCGCCGCCCCCGGCACCGCCGGCACCGCCGCCAGCCCCGCCGCCGGCCCCGCCGCCGCCCCCCCCCCGCTCGGCCGCGGCGGCCGCGCGCGCGGGCGGGCGCAGGCGCGGGCGAGCGCGGGCGGGTGCGTGCGTCGCCCGCCTGGTCCAAGGGGTCCCCTCGGACTCGGGACCCCCGGGGCCGCGAAGAAGGAGAAGGAGCAGGAGGAGGAGGAGGAGGAGGAGGAGGAGGAGGAGGAGGAGGAGGAGGACGAAGAGAGGAGGACGAGGAGGAGGAGGAGGAGGAGGAAAAGGAGGAGGAGGAGGTATGGTGGAGGAGGAGGGAGAAGAAGAGGAGGAGGAGGAGGAGGAGGAGGAGGAGGGATGGAGGAGGGATGGAGGAGGAGGGAGGAGCTCTCCTCGCATCGTGCATGAAAACGTCGCGACGTAACGGTCTTGACCGTCACCGTGCCCAGGGCCGTCAAACAAAGGCTCGGGATGAAAAACTGGTCCCCAGGAAGGGGCCCAGATCTCTAGGGGTATGTATGGGAAAGATCACGACGTCGCAACTCTGGGGGGAGAGGGTAGGGGGAGGGAGGATGGACGAGGAAGAGGACCAGAGTAAGTCCAGGATGCATCACCGATGCTGCAACTTCCCGTCCAAAGCCCACTCCTCATAGATGCGCACAAGCCTTCTCCTTCTTTGCAGGAGCCGCTCCACCAAATACGAGCATCACTCTGGCCTGCCATTCAAGGCAGAGCCCGTCTTGAAAAGGACCTGCCTCGCATCTTTCTGGCGATGTGCCAAAAGGATGCGAACCGGCCGCGCCAACAGTTTCTCAACGACGTGTCCAGCGACAGCCCCAGTTAGGAAAGGAGCCACACCCCTCCAGCGTGACGGGTGCTCCATCGGCGGTGGACAAACCTCCCTTTAGTAAACCTCCCCTTCATGAAGGCGGCCTGGGACCGAAACCGACGGACCTGGACCTGCAAAAATGACGGCCGCGACGACCTCTCGCGAACCGAAAACGGCCAATTCCTTCATCGACGTGTCAGGGTAGGAGGCCTGTCCACCCCCGACTCAAGTTTACACTGCTGGCCATCACAGGTGAGGAAATCTCGAGCGCGAACGCCATTTTGGCAAGAAGCATCGCCCTCCACCCGGGCAGCTGTCACGCACGAGCAGAAACTGTTGCTCGCCGTGTCGCGGCGGCGGCCCCGGCGACATGCTATGCCTTGCGAAGAGAGCGTGGCGCCCAGCTCCGCGGTGCAGGATGCTCGGGCAGGCTCGGGACATCGACGCTCGAGGACTGAGCAGAGGAGAGCGTCTCGTTCCAGAGCTTGGTCGGCCAGAACCAGCGGCGCGACACGCTAAACCAAACTTCCTGACCGTATGTACCAAGCATCCTGTGGTGATGGGTCCTCGTTCTGAACCCGCAACGCCCCGCGTCCTCCTCACTTTCCTCCTTCCCCTCCTCCCTCCTGCCATCCCTGGCTCTGCCCTCCGCATGTTCTCATCGTCATTGTCAGCATCACCAGTCTCGTCATGGCACAACCAACACGCGTTTCGTTGCCCTGGGGAGAGCTTCATCACGGGCCCCATTAGCCACGTTCGCATGAGGGGTCCTCGCCCATATCGGCACACACACACACACACACCGCATACGGTTCATTACCCCAAAGAGAGCCTCACCGAGGGCCCCAGTGACCACGTTCGCGCGAATGGGTCCTTGCCGCGGTTTCGGTCTCCCCGAAAAGCCCCATCTGCCCGAAAACGTTTGGCTTCAAACGCAAATGCAATAGGAATGCTGGGCCTGACCGAGAATGACCGAGGTGGCCACCGCAGGACTGCATCCTCCATCCTTTTCCTCGATCATCCTCGATCCTCCTCGTTATCGGCGTCGTCGTCGTCGTCGTCATCGCGAGAGTCGTTGCCGTCGTCGTCGTCGTCGCCGGTGTCGGCGTCGTCGCCTGAGTCGTAGTGACGAGTCGTCATCGTCGTGGAGCGGCCCGCCCCAGCGTGGAGCACCTCTTTCATGGGGCACCCTCTTCCTCGCGGACCCTCCGCTCCCCTCGTCGATCCTCCTCCTCGATCCTCCCTCGATCATCCTCGATCCCCTCAATCCTCCTCGGTCCTCTCCGATGCCAACACTGCAGCGTCGTGCATCATACGCACCCAGAGGAGCCGCTTTCTGCTGGCTCTGCAGCCCAGCGACGGCCCCTGGAGGCCAGACATCCAGACAAGATGGATCTTGCCTAGGGGGGGTACCAGTCACACGGAACCATCAGCATCATCATCACCATCACCATCACCATCACCATCATCATCATCATCATCATCATCAGCAGCATCATCATCATCAGCATCATCATCATCAACATCATCATCATCATCTTCATCATCATCATCGTCATCATCATCATCACCATCATCAGCGTCATCATCATCACCATCATCATTATAATCTTTCTTCGTCTCCTCCTCCTCCTCCTCGATCCTTCCCGATCCTCTCCGATCCTCCACCTCCTTCCGTGAGCTGTGAGCTGGTGGCCATCGTGTCTGTCAGACGCAGACCTCCTTGACGTTGGGCAAACTTCAGCAGCGGACCTGTAGCGTTCTACGCAGGCCTCCTTCTCCTTCTCCTCCTCCTCCTCGATATCCTCCTCCTCCTCCTCATCGATCTCCTCGATCTCCTCCTCCTCCTCCTCATCATCATCATCACCACTACCACCACCACCATCATCATCATCAGCATCATCAGCATCATCATCATCATCACCATCACCATCACCATCATCACCATCATCATCATCACCATCATCATCATCATCAGCAGCATCAGCATCAGCATCATGATCATGATCAGCACAAGCATTAGCATCAGCATCAGCATCATCATCAGCAGCATCAGCAGCAGCAGCATCAGCATCAGCATCAGCATCAGCATCAGCATCAGCATCGGCATCGGCATCGGCATCGGCATCGGCATCGGCATCAGCATCAGCATCAGCATCAGCATCAGCATCATCATCATCATCATCATCATCATCATCATCATCATCATCATCATCATCAGCAGCAGCATCAGCATCAGCATCATCATCATCATCATCATCAGCATCAGCATCATCATCAGCATCATCATCATCATCATCATCATCATCATCATTATCATCATCTTCCTCGATCACCTTCTGCTGCTCCTCCTCCTCCTCCGCCTCCTCGATATCCTCCTCCTTCTCCTCCTCCCCCTGCTCCCTCCTCCTCCTCCTCCTCCTCCTCCTCCTCCTCCTCCTCCTCCCCCTCCCCCTCCCAATAAATCCCCCGAGACAGAGCCCACCGCGGGCTGGCGCCCAGCCGCGGCCGCCCCGCCCAGCGGCGCCGCGTCGGGCGTCAGGGGCGCCGCCTCGCCGCCCAGGAGGCCAGCGCCGTGCCCGGCAGCCAGGCAAGCGCCGACAACCTCGAGGGGCGTCGTCGTCGTCCTCGTCGTCGTCGTCGTCATCGTCGTCATCGTCGTCGTTGTCGTCGTCGTCGTCCAATGTCGTCGTCGTCCAATGTCGTCGTCGTCGTCGTCGTTTTCGTCGTCGGTCGTCGTTGTCGTCAACGACGATGGATGGACGACGACGACGACGACAACGGGCGACGACAATGACGACGCAACTACGACGACAACGACGGACGCCGAAAACGACGAAGACCACGGAACATCGTCGTTTTCGTCGTCGTCGTCGACGTCCTCTGTTCGTCGTCGTCATCGTCGTCGTCAGTTGGAGTCGTCGTCGTGGCGTCGTCGTGGTCGGCGGCGGCGGCGGCAGCGGCGTCGGCGTCCGTTGTCGTCGCCGTTGTCGTCAACGACGCTGGACGACGACGACGATAACGACGACAACGGGCGACGACGACGACGACGCAACTACAAAGGACGACGACGACGAAGACGACGTTGACGACGACGTCGACAACGACGACGACGACGGATGTCGACGACGACGGACGACGACGGACGACGACGACGACGACGACGACGACTATGACGCCGTCGTCGTTTCTTCGTCGTCGTCGTCGTCGGCTACTCGTCGTCGTCGTCGTCGTCGTCGTCCGTTGGAGTCGTCGTCGTCGTTGTCGGCGGAGGCGGCGGTGGCGGCAGCAGCGGCGTCGGCGTCCATTGTCGTCGCCGTCGTCGTCGACGACGACGACGGCGGGCGACGACGACGACGACGACGGCAACGACGACGACAACGACGCAACTACTATGACGACGACGACGACGACACCGACGACGACGACGACTACGACGGACGTCGTCCACTGTCTTCGCCGGTCGTTATCCGTTGCCGTCGTCGTCGCCGTCGACGTCCGTCGTCGTCGTCATCGTCGACCGTTGTTATCGTCGTCGTTGTCGTTGTCGTCGCCATTGTCGTCGTTTGTCAGCGTCGGTCGTCCGCCCGTCGTTGTCGTCGTCGACTATGTCCTCCGTTGTCGTCGTCGTCGTCCTTCGTGGTCCATCGTCGTCGTGCTCGTCGTCGACGGCGTCCGTCGTGATTCTCGTTGTCGTCGCCGTCGTCTTAATCGTCGACGTCCGTTGTCGTCGTCATCATCGTCGACCGTTGTCGACGTCTTCGTAGTCGCCATCGTCGACGTCGTCGCCCATTGTCGTCGTCTGTCGTCAGGCCGTCGTCGTCGTCGTCGTCGGCGTCGTCATCGTCGGCGGCGGCGGCGGCTGCGGCAGCGTCGTCTTCATCGTCGACGTCCTCGTCGTCGTCTGTTGTTGTCGTCGTCGTCGTCGAAGTCGGCGGCAGAGGCGGCGACGGCGTCGTCACCATTATCGTCGTCGACCGTTGTCGTCGTCGTCGGCGGAGGAGTCGGCATCGTCGTCGTCGACATCCGTTGACGTCGTCGTCGTCTTCGTCGGCGGCGGTGTCCGCGTCGTCGTCGTCGTCCGTCGTCTTCGTCGTCGTCGTCGTCGTCCGTTGTTGTCGTAGTCGTGGTCGGCGGCCGAGGCGGAGGCGTCGTCGGGGTAGTTGTCGTCGTCGTCGACGCCGTCGTCGTCGACGCTGTCGTCGTCGTGGCCGTCGTCTGTCGTCGTCGTCGTCGGCAGCAGCGGCGGCGGCGTCGGCGCCGTCGGCGTCGTCGCTGTCAGCGACATTGTCTTCGTCGTTGTAGTAGTTGTCGTCGTCGTCCTCCGTCGTCGTCCGTCGTCGTCGTCGTCGTCGTGGACGTCCGTCGTCGTCGTCGTCGTCTTCCGTCGTCGTCGTCCGTCGTCGTCGTGGTCGACGTCGTCATCGTCCGTCGTCGTCATCGTCGACGTCCGTTGTCATCGTCCGTCGTCGCCGTCGTCGTCGTCGTCTCTCTGTCGTCGTCGTCGTCGTCGTCGTCGTCGACGTCGTCGTCCGTCGTTGTCGTCGTCGTTGTCGTCGCCTGGCATCGTCGTCAGTCGTCATCGTCGTCGTCGCCCATCGTCGTCGTCGTCGTCGATATCTTCGTCCGTCGTCGTCGCCCGTCATCATCGTCCGTCGTCGTCGTCGACGTCGTCGTCGTCGTCGTCCGTCATCTTGTCGTCGTCGTCGGCGGCGTCGTCGTCGTCATCGATGCCTGTTGTCGTCGTCGTCTTCGTCGTCGTCCGTCGTCGTCGTCGCCCGTCATCGTCGTCCGCCGTCGTCGTCCATTGTCGTCGTCGTCGGCGGCGTCGGCGTCGTCGGTGTCGTCGTCGACGTCGTCGTCGTCCTCCTTGCCCCCCCAACTGATCCCAGGACATCTCTCCGCCTCCGCATTTTTCGACGACCGACGACGCCATCGCTCGACGCCACCGCCGATGACGCCAACGACGCCAACACCAACGACGACCACGCCGCCGCCGCCGCCGACGACGACGACGACGAGGGTGGCAACGAACAGGAGACTTGCCGCCGCGGGCAGGCCTGCCGGCGCCACGTCCCTCCCTCCGTCTGCCCCCCTCCTCCTCCTCCTCCTCCTCCTTCTCCATTGCTTCCTCCCCCTCGTCCTTTCCCTCCCTCCCTTCTCTTCCCTCCCTCCATCCCTCCTCATCCTCCTTCTCCCTACCTCCTTCTCGAACTCCTCTCCCTCCTCCTCCTTCTTCTCCTCCTCCCTCTTCTCCTCCTTCCCCGCCTACGCCTAAGTCTCCGCCTACGCCTGGTGGTACAATCACGAGGGAAGGTTGGTGACAATCTTCAGCCTCTACAAGGGCCCTTGCCG